CGCGTACAGCGTTGAAAATTGCATTGGCGAGGAAACTCTAACCGCTCTAAATTACAGTCTCTCCGCACGCGATGACTTTAGGCCTGTCAGCTTTAGGTGCTTCTCCATCGCAATAACGAGTTGGCTGTCGTTTCTTTTTGTTTATATTGTGCTGTATGCTTCGCAATATGCTTAGACCATTTTTAACTACCCATAGCCAACCTCTAGGTTTCTACTCTTTAGAATTAAACAGTTAGTGACCGGATAAAACGAGGCGAAAAAAATAAACAAAACAGGAAAGCCGCGTTATGGCTGCGCCCTGCATGAAGGGATGTCCGGAGGCGTCTAACGCTTTGGGAAATTAACGTTCCACGGTCATTGTCTGGCCCCACAAGTCAATACCGTCCGGCTTCGCGGAATAGCTGGGGGCACATGGCGCCAGCTTACTCTTACCGTGCTGTAGGCGCGCGGAAAAGTTTCTAATTATGGCCACTTCATGTTTCGAAACATCGTGGCTTCGGTGCAATGATCGAGTTGTTTGGACGAGAAACCCTCGCTGGACGGCCTTGGTCGGACATTGCAGACAGCCCGAAAGTTTTAAAGATTAAAACCTCGGTTAACTCTCCGCTGCTATTTGGTATTTTATGCGTGTTATGGGGTCTCGCGTTTTTCTCTCGTTTTTGTTTTGTTATCATCATCTGCATAATACCGTTGACTCTGTTTGTGTTGCTGAGGGGCAAAATATAAAGTGATAACTGTTATGAAGTTTCTCGATGGAGCTGGGTGCAGTTACAAACATGAAGCATCGTTCCAGTGCCTACACAGGCCGAGAATGCCACACTGTGTTTTTTCTCGCGCCACCAAAGCGTGTCTTAAATGGCATCATCGTCACAATTATATTTAAGAACAACGGGATAAGTCTGAACTTGAGGATACTGAAAAAGCTGTTGGATAATCTGAAAAGAATATTTGGAGGAGAGTTCGTTGTGAAAAATGGCCTAATAAATTGCCCCCCTCCCCTCCCCGAACCAATAACACAAGAACAGCAACAAAAATACCTGACATCTCTTTAATTTTTATATGAACATGAAGCTGAATGTTTGCCGCTGTAACGTCACACTGAAGTGATCATTGTGAAACGCACTTCAGCAACGGCGATCTGAGAAACTAATTCAGCATGCTTTTTTTTTTTTCAAGGCCTTTTTTTAATACAGTTGCCACACAAAAACTTCAGCGTCATATCCATCTAAGGACATTATGTGATCGAATAATCAGCGTGCGCCACTCCTGACTCATGAAAGCGGACGCACGGTGCTACCTGGCAGGATGACAAGCTGATTGGCAAGTCTCATAATGGCATTCAATAAAAATAGCATTAAAGGGACGGTGCAACGATTTTTGGACCTTTAGCAGTTTATTATGGGAATTAGTCTGCGTCACGTATAGAATAAAGAACAGAAAAAATGTTTTTCGCGTGCTTTAATTCTTTTCCTTTTTTTTTTGTAAAAGAAATGAAACAAATTTATGCTTGAGTTACCTCTTAACTCTCACACCATCCTTCGAGTCACGTCAGGGGGGGTACTACATGGTTTCCCTTTAGGTCCTGTTTTCAAAAGCACCCAAAACACCTCCCCGATTTATTGATTTATTTTACTTTTTAGGGGCGCAAGGTTAAATAACATATAGAAAGACTGTCCGAGTTAAACATGTTGTGGTATAGAGCAGGGGTGGTCAGAGGGACATGGGGCTCAAGCCGCAGAAAAAACTAGAAACGTTCACAGAGCCGCGAGGGGAAAAAAAAAGGGGGGGGGGGGGCTTTTTTTTAACATAAAACGATATGCAGGGAAGAGTTATATCCAAAGGGGACATGTATAATTGTCGACTACAACAAATGACGCCAGTTAGCAGAGCGTTTTTCCAACATCCAAGCAAAGAGGAATGCATGGTTCGCTAGCCAGCTACTGCTCCAGACGCCCGTTATGCGTATACAGTCCAAAAATATTTTTATAACAATAAGGAAACAGTGTCACTGGACACATCTATTGTTACAAAGCAGACCAGCTGTATGTACCGTCGGGTTCGAATGAAATGTGAACAGTGACGGAACTTGGAGCCCACTACCGGCGCGGCGCAGCTTTCCAGTTCTGGTTGTGCTTGGCGAGGTTCAAACACATCGGATAAACCACGTCAAGCGAAACCCAAGCTTGGAAGCTGCGCCGGTAGTGGACTCCAAGTTCCGCCACTGTTCGCATTTCATTCGAACCCGATGGTACGTAATGCAGTACAAAACTGCCAAGACTGTCAACTTTTTTTTTTCTTTTTTAATTCTATAACTTTTTTCGTCTTGGGGACACTGAAGGGGAAGGGGGGGCAGCTCACCATGGAGCCTTGAGATGCGCTTTAATTCGCGAAAATCCGCATGCGGCTCGCGAGCCGCATTTTATACTATTCACTGGCGGCCATAGCTGTGTGCGCGACTGCTGAGCACGTGCTGACGGCGAGCTTCCGCAGTTCTTTTACAACGCGCATTCCGCACCATCGAGATTGCCGGTCTTAGCAGCCTATTGATGTGAGCTCGTTCTGTGCATGCGCTCTAAATATCGCCCCCAAATATGGCGTCCAGTGAATACCCCCTAAAGAGGATATGTCGCGAAATTTGAGATATTCATGATTGCTTCCTAATTTTCTTCCTTTCAAATGTTTCGTCTGTTTCATTTTTTTTTTTTTTTTTTTTTGCGGTTAGATATATTTTTGAGCACGAAGCACACAGATTGGACGGTACTTCAGTAGTGAACATTTTTATATCCTCAAGAGTAACTAGTACCCACGACGATGTTCGCACCGTCCAGAAACAACAAGCAAACATAGGTCATCTGTGCAACATCACCGCGATATAACGCAAATTAGATTTTGTTTTAACACTGTGTTTGCCACGATAATGAAGGAAGAAGACAATGCTGTTGTTATTTTTTCTCGTCATTTTCATAACGATGTTGTTTTATTGTTAATTTTGGATTCTGGTTTTCTTGCCTGCTCAATAATGAACAGTGTCTGGGCCGCATCTGACAGAGCTGATCTGTCCTTTGATTTAATACCTCGAAACGTAGCCCGTATTCGCGACTCCAGCAACCTTTAGGGGTCGCCACTATCGGACAGTTATGGCGGTCTAAAACGGGTCGTGCCATGCCATGTGCCAGCTCAACGCGCAGCGCTCGGGTTTCAGCAGGCAAGCATTGTGCGCACCCCAGTGGTTTGCCCCGGTTTCTCTTCAATACGTCCTAAAACGTTTGGCAATATGTAAAAAAAAAAGAATTACGTTTAACGTAAGACAATTCTCTGAGGCTCGACCCTTTTCGGAGAAGTGATGGAAAGACTGCCTATAACTGTGCTTCAATAATGCTGATGAACATTGGCAAAAGCAGAATGTCGTTTTCACGTGGTGCCCTATAGGCTGAGTTCAGGGCGACCTGGGCAACGCGTTGATACGACAGTAACGACCGAGTTCCATCACTGTTCCATCACGCCAAACCGCCAAAAGCATATAATCGCACAAAAGCCACAACAAGAGACGAGCAGAAATCGCGGAAGGGCCTGTTCCGGTCAGTTCAGTGTTTTACCGCTAGGTGCCGTTCGTTTTGCTGGAGTCGCGAGAATAGACCAACGCGCAATTTACAAACGAGCCCCCAAGAGGTGTGGGCTCCGCGAGTGCGCGAAGACCGGAGCCGCGTGAAGAGAAGCGTCCGCGGCATGCGCCCTGCAGGCGCCCTGACAATGGCAACCCCACCACAGCGGCGTCACTTCAAGGCCGCGTGTTGGTGTAGGGACCCACACGCGGCGCTGGCGTCACACCACTGCGGTGGCGCTGCTGTTGGCAGGGCGCAGGCGCAGACGCTCCACTTGACGCGGTTCCTGCGCACGCGCACTGCCCACACCTCGTGCTGAAACTGCGCGTTTGCCCACACCTGGTGCAGGGCTTATATGGAAACAGCCCGTTGGCCTCGAGATCGTCTGCTCCTTCCTTGCTCACATCGTGCGTTTCTTTACCCGCCGAATGCAGCCACGTGCTTTTTGTTTTCTCGCGACCTCAGGCAATGACGGTGCGTGCTTGACTGCCTCATCATCGCACGCTCCATGCGCGTTCTCTATATGTTGCCCATTGATTGGCGTGCCCCTTCCCTCGTTCTCATCTAGGCCAGCTTTCTTGGACACTTCGTGGCACAAAACTTTTCCCACGAAATGTCGAGATTTTTATTTACTTGCGTGCTATGATACCCAGGAAATTACAGTCCAAGAGAATATTACAATCTTTTCGAAAGAAAAGCAGAACGTTAAAAATTTGGGAATATAATCCATAAAACTCGATGCGAAAAAAAAATATATATAGAGAGAGAGACAGAGTGAGAGAGCCACGGTGTAGAATTTATACGCGTCCGAAGGTTTAATTACTTCTTACTGACATTTTATGACTGTCGTAAACCTTGCGATGATCGCTGTGGTTCACTTGAAATTATAATTTTAGTCCATGCGTTGACGTTCCAGAAGGTTGGGGACGTGCACCAGCGACGCATTTGGCAAAACTTAAGTTTCGTTCTCGCACTTGCGTCTTCTTACGACCGATTGCGCTACGATTTTTTATGATGTCTTGCTGCGAGAGAACACGCTGGTGCCATCTATCGTGTAGTCGTCGAACACTCTGGATTTACGTATAGTTTCTATTATCTCGCGTATCATTACTTACTATTGGCTCAAAAAAGAAAAAAAAAAACGGTTGACGGTGTTGTAAACAACAATGTCTCCTAGATGGCACGTACATTTTTTTTTTCGCAAATACTGCACAACCTTCGCTCTGGTGAAATGCAGTTTCAGAGCCACCTCAAAGATGGTGCCACCGTGCCAGTCTGTTTTCTCGTCGTAAGAGATCGCAAGGAGTCGTAATGCTGTCGGTCGTCAGCAGTCGCAAGTGTGTGAATCAGCCTTTACTTGCCGTGTAAACAAAACCGTTTCTTTTTGTGTCATTACAGACCGTCGATTCCTGGTGGCCAACGCGCTGGTGGACTCCCTGCCCATCATCTACTGCAACGACGGCTTCTGCGAGCTGGTGGGCTGGACCCGAGCCGAGCTCATGCAGCGCTCGTGCGTCTGTGAGTTTCTGCACGGGCCCCTGACGGACCCGGACGCCGTGGCCACCTTCAGGGACGCCCTGGCCTCCATGGTCGAAAGGCAGACCGAGCTGCTCTACTACCGCAAGGACGGTACGTTTCGCTGGTCTGGAGACCATTCCGCTCTTCACACACCCTAAAGTTTCGACGCGGCACAAACAGATACACTCTAGAAATCTGGAATCTATGTTTTGCACCCTAAAAGGTTATCTTAAGCACCTCCTAAAACGGTTCTTTGAGAAAAACCTATAAGGGGTTCTTTTAAGGTCATTTTCTAAATGTGAAAGGGTTCTTCATCGCCTAGTTGCCTTTCTCGTTCTTTCTTTCTCTTTCTTTTTTCACGAGCGGAAGAACTTGCTGTGTCAAAGCTTTTTTCAAGAGCGGATATTTTTACAGTGCGGTAAAGCGGTGTGCTGCTTGCTACATCGGGAAGTGAGGAAAGAGGGAGCTTGGCCAACATTCAAAATGGCTGATGCCAGAAGCCTTTCTGTTAGAGCGTGCATAGACGATTTCACAGCTCACAAAAGTAACAGCCCATCGTTCGATAAAACCATTCAGAAGCATGTGGTTGCACTTTGGCAAACAGGAAAAGCTCGTGCTTCAAAGGTGCCCTGAGGAGGTATCTGAGATCGCCCAAATATGCAGATAACTTTCTCTGCTGGCTCTAAGTATACCAGATATCTCTAAATCATGACGGTACGTGGCCGATTTTTCTATTAAAAAGAAAAGCAGTAGAAGATACCAACACACCGAGGCCATCTTGGGCGATGGGAGGGGCATGTGTCTAAACCAGGACCACTGTCAGCCAGTAGCAAGCGAAGGATCGTCGCACCTCTTGCCGGTGGAACCGCGGAGTGATCCTGTGCGCGTAAACAAGAGACCGATCTCACCAAGCCTTCCACGCATGCGTGACGCCGCCATAACTGTAGTTCGCAGGGGGCAGACGCCAGTTCACGCCACAGCTCATGCTGCCTCGTGGTCTGCTCGCGCAAACCTCCAGCAGGGTTGTCGTGCGTGCAGAAAGACTACAGCTCCCACAATGCATATCGGCAGCGGTGGCGTACTCAAACTAGCTGGTGAGATCGGTCTATTGGCTTTCTCTTTCCCTCGAAGTCTCCATTTACAATTAACGTCGAGACGCACACACAGCAGAGTGATATCTCGAATGCGCGCGGCTCGTTGCCTAGTTACGACGTGCGCGATCGAAAGCGTCGCTGTGGTCGGCCTTCCACGATTGGCCGAGTGCTGGCTAAGCCGTCAGCAAAAGATTTTCTCACCAACGGAAATAAGAGTAATATAGGAACTTCAATTTTGACGGTGTTAGCAGTGTTGGTCTCAGAGCGCAATGATTTTAAGCTTCCACCATTCTCAATACAATCACCATCGAACTTCTTTTCGCAAGGCAATGACACCACGAGACAGAACCATAGGAGGGCGCCACCAAAACATCTCGCCTAGAGTGCCTTCATACACACGCGCGCTTTCTAATCTCGCCATCTCTCCGCTAATCTAGCCCAGACAACGGTCCAACCCAGGGAGCGCGTGCTCGAAGCTTGACGACCGGACACATCACTACCGCAAAAAAAAAAAAAAAAGACAAAAAAACAAACAAACACAGTGCGCTCTTTTTGAGACGAATTTTGCAGTATTATGTTCCCTCTCCACGAAAAAGTAACATTTTTCGACTACTCTTGTTTACTTTTATCATCTACAAAGCATACATATCTTGTAAAAATAGCATTTGCAATCTCAACAAAATGTCGCTTTTTCATAGGTTACATGTCGTCCTGGCTGGCGGAACAATGCCGCTCTTATGGCCGGAGAAAACCTTGGTGTGTTCGACCTTTGATTGTTTTTCTTGTTTGTTTCTTAACTGGGAAGTTACCCGCGCATCGTTATAATTTATGGATTTCTAAGAAGCTTAGTGTCCGCGGAGTGAGCTATCGTCATGTTTAGGCGGTCTTAAAAACCTCCTCAAGACACATTTTAGCAACCTCAAATATAGACAATAAAAAACTCTTTTTTTTTTTTTTTATAAAAGAGGGTGTAGACAATTTGACTGTTTACAAAAAGTGACAGTCTACAGCGTTCGATAAAACAGTTCATTTCACGAACACGTACTTGCCAAATCGTCAAAAAACTGTGCTTCATGCATTAACGTTTAAAATGGCTGCTACTAGCTTCTTGGAGGAAAGGTTGTATAGACAATCGCGCTGCCTAAAAAAAGTAAGGTTCCAGCGTCCGATGAAAACATCTCTGCAATATCTGCTTGCCACATCGTCAAAGAAAACACTCTCGCGCTTGACTCGCCAACATTCAGAATGACTGCTGCCAGGGGCCTTTGTGTAAAAGGTTGTATGGACCATTCGACATTCCACTGTTTACAGAAAGGCGTTCGATGAAAACTCTTCAGCAGCATGAGCTGGCCACTTCGGCAAGTAAAAAATAAGAGCCCGCGCCACACGCAGCAAGATCCAGAACGGTTGCTGCCAAAAGCCCTAATGTTAAAATGTACAAAAGTATATACACATTTTAACAGAGAAATAGAGACCATTTCACTGTTTACAAAAAGGAACAATTCAGCGTTCGATAAAAACAGCCCATTGGCATGGGCTTCCCACTTCGGCAAGCAAGGAAAGCTTGCTCCTGACGCACCCACCCACATCCAGAATGGCTGTTGCTAAAAGCATTTTTATAAAAGGGTGGGTGGCCATTCCACTGTTAACAAAAAAGTAACAAAGCAGCATTCGAAAACGTTACATCAGCGTGTGCTTGCCACTTCGGTAAGCAAGAAAGGCTCGCGCCTGATGAACCCTCACCCAGAATGGCTGCTACCAGAATCCCTTTTGCATAAGAGTGTATAGGGAATTTTTCTCTTTGCAAAAAAGTAAGAGTCCATCATTTGAAAATGACAGACCAGCAGCATGTGCCTGCCGCTTTGACAGGCAAGAAAACTCGTGCCAAACGCACCGACCTCCACAATGGCCTCTGCGAGAAAGCGTTTTTTGAAAGCCTGTAGAAGCCATTCCTCTGTTTACTGATTAACGGCCCGACATTCGGTAATACAGTACAGCCGCATGTGCTTGCCACTTCGACAAACAAGGAGAACTTGTGCCCAAAAAGCATCAACATCCAAAAAAACCGCTGCAAGATTTTTTTTTTTTGTTTTTGTATTGTGTTTGAACATTTTTTGTTGTTCACGAAGAGTAACTGGCCAGCGTCTGATAAAACAGTTCAGCAGCATGTGCTTTCCACTTCATCAAACAAGAGAAAGGTCGCGCCTGATGCACTAGGATCTGTAAGGGCTGCTGCCACCTTTTTGGGGGGAAAGAATGCATAGACCATTTTACTGTTTACCAACAAGTAAAACATCAGCGTTCTATAAAAACAGTTTAGCAGCATTTGCGTGCCACTTCGGCAAAAGAGAAAATATCGTGCCTGCAGTAACAGCATAGAGAATTGCTGCTGACACCTTTTTTTGGGAAAGGGTACATAAACCGACCTTTCCACTGCTCACCAAAAGTGACAGTTCAACATCAAGTGCTTGCCACTTCAGCAAACACGAAAAGTTAGTGCCTGAAGCACCAACATCCCCAATGGCTGCCGCCAGTTTTTTGGCGGGTAAGGATTATAGACCACTCCACCGTTAAAAAAAAACAAAAAAAAAACAATGCAGCGTTTGATAAAAACACTTGGGAAGCATATATGTGCTTGCCACTTGGGAAAGCAAGAAGTTCGTGCCTGGAGCACCAACATCCATAATGGCTGCTGTCTGCTGTTTGGAAAACTGTCCGTAGACCATTTCACTGTTTACAGAAAGTAGCAGTCCAATGACTGTCCAGCGTTCGATAAAAAAAAACAGTTCAGTAGCATGTGCTTAGCACTTCGGCAAACAAGAAAAGTCTTAAAGAAAAAGAAAAAGGAGGCTTATGTAGGCGACGACGTCAATGTCGTCCGCTGTGTGTCTCCTCTTTCTATTTGTTTTAAAGCCACCAACACGCTCAAATAGTACAAGAAAACTTCAGGCCTGAAGCACAAATATCTAGAATGGCTACTGCCATCTTTTTGTTTTATCTTCGGAAAGAGCGTAAAACTATTTCACTCTTCAATCATCTTTTCTTTCTTTTTTTTTTTTTTTTTTTTTGAAGTGAAAAACTTTTTTTACTTTTTGCGAAAAATACCAGTCTAACATTCGATAGAAGAAGTGGGGCAGCATGTGTTTGCCATTTCGGAAAGCAAGAAAAGCTCGCGCCAGAAGCATCAACATCCGAAATGGATACCACTAGAAGCCCTTTTGTCCGAATGCACATCACGTGGATTTGAACAGCGGTCCAAACACAGCATGAGAAACGTTTTCTGGCAGTCTGTAAGTTTGGAGACAGGAAAGGACGTGAAATAAAATTGCGGCCGTTCAACAGCCAGTAAATTAGCCGTGAGGCGTTCGTGTCACGTGTGTATCTCTGCTTGGTTGAGTGTTGGTGCATTCAACCTTGAACAGGATGTCTACACTAAGTCGTCATTTGCTCGACTTGGCAACTTAGCTGCGTGCGGTGATGGTAAGGACTGGACGAAGATCGGTTTGTATCAAATAGCGCGCATCATTCTTCAACACTGCAGTGTTGTCGATTTCCCCAGCACTGTTAAGGCTATGACTGACGCAGTGCTATTCGACTCGAATCTATATTTGCCCAGCCCTACGTTACTACAAACGTGACTATATTTTAACACGCTGCTATGCTACGCTCCCGAAGTAAATTATGTCGCATTAAAATATTTACGGTGCTGTAGTGTAGCGCAATTAGAGGTGTTCGAATGCCGGTTCGAATCGAATAGCTCTGCGTCATTCATAAACTTCACCTTGAAAGAGAAAGCCACTAAAACCAGTATTCTTAAGTGTCGAAGCTAAGGATGACACTGCGCTCGCAGCTTCATCCCTAGCTTTAACTTTGTTAAGAAAACCGGTTGTTGTGACTTTCCCTTCGACTGCAAAGGTTTTGAATGACGCAGAGCTATTCGAATCGAACTGGTATTCGCACACCTGTAAGTGCTAGTGATCCGAACCAAATACCAAAGGTTCAGAGATTGCTTTTATTTGATTCGAAATTTATAAGTAAGGGTCTTCAAATAGCTATTTGAATCG